CACTCGGCGTCGGCTGATTTTCACTACGATGCGCACAGTTACTCGCTCAATTTTGACGAAGGATACGATGAAGGCCATGTCGATGATGAGTTTCCGCTTAGGAACTTCTCGTCTAGGTTACCGGCTTCTCCGCCGAAGACACCGCCGTCTTCCTCGTCAAATACGTCAAGGGAGATAACCACGGCGTACAGATAAATGGATTTGGAGGTGGTCTTTTCAAGGTTTAATTCGCGGCCTATCGTTTAATTTGCTCGATTAAAAAATTGTGGCCAACGGTACGGTGGTTATAACGACGTATACTGGAGCGGAAGCGATTAAATTCCAAAAGGTAGATTTCGTCGGACTTTCAATGGATAGATGTCTGAAAATGCCTTTTGCATAACTTTTTCTTCATGGATATATATATATATGCGCCTGTGTTTATGTAGCATTTTCGGATTTCGCAACAGAGTTTTCATACTGTTCTTGGTTAATATATATAATTAATTAAGTGGTTCTGGTTTGGAGATTCTTCTACCTATGGCAACAAATTTCCAAGTTAGGATTGCCATTTAAACAGCGTTCAATTATTTATTTTACAATTAATATAATAATGTTCATAAACTCTTCCCGATCTTACACTAGTTTGCTCTACTTTTAAAATTAAATCATGAACATAATATTCAAAGAAGGTCCGAGATGAAATTAGAAAACCAAAGCACAAACTAATGTGTGCATTTTCCGTATCAGCTTCCATACCTTTTTTTTTTTTTTTACAAATACAACAATGAACAACTATTGAAACTTGTTCACTTTAAATTATCAAATATTATTGTTTCAATAGTTATTTTGAATCACAATTAATAAAAATATCACATCAGAAATCTATTCTCTTCTGTAGATGATTAAGAATACATAAATTATTAAATAGATCATGTGATGTGTGTTTATTATTTCACATGTATATTCAATTATATGTTTTCACAATAATCTTTTTTAATGACAGCATGTTTTCACAATAATTGACTCTTTTTCGACAATAATAATTAATTTTTTTAATGATATCACTCAGATATTCTTAAAAATATTTAAGAATATTTATTTAAATTTCTCTGCAGCCAGCTTTTTTTTTTCTAAAAAATCAATAATTAATCAGAACGGTTACGATTGAGTTGGCCCATGTACGGGGTTGCAGGCACTATGCCATATATTGCGGGTCCTCTCTTTTATAAATAATTGCGAAGGAGTTTTGGATATTTCAATTTCTCGCTCCAATTGTTGAACTTGAAAATAATTGTAAATGATATAATTATTTTCATTTCTGATATACAATTTAGAAAAATAACGAGATTATATTTTTTTCACTTCTGCCGTAGGTTCGAAATTTCGTCATCGTGAGCATAATTTGAGAGAAAAAAAAGAAAACATTTCTCCTCCCCGGAGTGCAAATGGGCAGAGAAGCGCTTATACGATGCTTTAATTGGAGTATTTTTGTTTGTTAAAATTACTTATTTTAAAAACGGTAAATACACTTTAACATGTATTGTTCGAAGGGCAATATTGTCTTTTTCTCTTTCCTCAAATTTTATTTCATTCTTACAAATATATATATTTGATTAATGGTTAAATATGCTTTCATTATTCGATAAATTATACTGTTTGGAGGGGTTAAGAAAATGGTCTTAAACGTAGAGCAAAAATACCAATATAAATTAAAAATGCACATTTTATCTTATCATTTACGTAATTCCCTTAATTAAAATAATTTCGATCCATTTTTAATCATAAAAAAAACAAAATAATTTCAGTCAGTTTAGTAACCATCTTGTTTAACAAAAAAATCTGCCATTTCTTTTTTAAAACTATTCTTACTCTCTTAGGATTTCTTTAGTATTTTCAAATTTTCTAAAAACACAAATGAATTTTCCACTAGATTTAGAAAATAAATGGTACCTTTTAAAAAATTACAGTCTTGTTTGATAATCATTTCCTTTTTTTATCGTTTTGTTTTTAAAAATTAGACTTGTTTTTTACCAATTTCATTAATATTTTTTTAACCTCTTTTAAAAATACTTAGCCAAAATTAAAAACAAAACCAAGTTTTGAAAACTAACTCTTTTTTTTTCAAAACTTATCCTAGGTTTTAAAAATGTTTAAAAATTTATATAAGAAAACAAAAGAGGGTTAAAGTAATGTTTGTAAGCCAAAAATAAATTAAAATATAGGGACGTTGACTTTGAAACTTTTCAAAAATATAAGAACTTAAATAAAAGTTGAAAATATAAGAGACATTTGAAAAATTAGGACTAAAATGGCAGTTTAAACAAAAAAATGAACCTTGACTTCATGGATTTTCTTCTTTTATATTTTAGGTATTGGAGGTATTCAATGGAGTTATTAAAACAAAAGTTAACAAGGATACAGTGAAAATATTTGTAATTACTTGCAACATTTGCAACATATTTTTCGGAGAGAGTTAGGATTGAATAGTTTTTTAGGGAGCTCTCAGTAGGCTATCATAGTGCATTGTCTCTTGCAACCCAATTTCAGTCCTATTTTCTTAATATCCAATCTCTTTTGTCAAAGTGAAAAAATATGAAATATGTCGCCCTAAACTTAGTTCAACTGATTAGGTTTCATTGATTAAAATGTCATATGTTTAAACCCTCACCTATTATTGTACTCAGCAAAAAAAATTGTGGGATATCGTGTCAGCGTTCAGCACATATTGGACACTTTGTTATGTATAACGAATATGTGTAGCTCGGACTCGGGATCTAACCACAACATGTAGCTTCCAAGATGTTCACAATACAAAGAGTGTCACCAAGAAAGATGTAAAAAGGTACCGAAGCACTATCTTTGCAGCCCGTCAGTAAATTTTTTATGCTTTCTGCATGAATTGTCTTAATATTCACGCAATCACATGGTTCTACCTCAAAACCAAAATTAAAGGACGACGAGAGGAGTGATTTGTTTTATCTTGTAAACTTTATGGTATGTCCCTTAATCTTTTCGAGGTGAAATCCTTAACATGAACACCATTTATTTGAACAGATTAAATAAAAATCTAACACAAACACTTGTTAAGCACAACAACCACAAGTCAAAACTCGTGAACATCAAACAAATTGTTATTACGCACAAACTAGAGCATCCAAACTAATTATTTAGTTATTTGCTGGGAAAAAATGCACAAAGAAAGAAATAGAAACGAAAACTAACAACAAACTTTGAGAGTGAACGAACATCAACGAAATTTGTTTCTTTAGCATATAAAATACGTCACCAACAATATTGACATCAAAATTTGAATTCCAAATGTTTCGAACTGAAACAATGGTCAACCAAAAGTAAACCAGAGGTGAATAGGAAACAAAAATAAGAACATGGGATGGAATTTTCATTTTTCACAGAAGAAGAAATAACAAGATGAGGAAGGGAAAGAAATGGAACCTTGAGCTTGAGAATAATGAACACTCTTGCGCGAAAGAGATGAACGGGGCTCAACGCTCTGCCGAAGTTGTAGGATGTAAAAATGCATCGGTAGGAGTGTGTTCTGTCTCAGAAGGAAGCACCCGTGCGAACGGTGGTGTACGAAGTGGAAGCAAGGAATATTGAATGTGTATGTTAAGGCAGAGAGGGAGACAGTGAAGGATTAGCAACTTTGAGTTCCCCACAGTCACTGATATAAACAGTTTTGAGAGGTCTGTTCCAAATATTTCGAGCATTTTGAGCTCTTTCATCTCCCAAAAACTCAGCCAAATCGTTGAATTGCCTGATTCTCTCCGATGGTTTGTATGTTGGAGTTGAGGCTATGGCCGCCACAACATCTAATCCTGAAAACCCCCCTCAAGTATTTCACGCACAAATCCAACAACCCATTATTGCAACTTACAAGAGCTAGCTAGTGTATCAAAACAATTGTATTAGGGTTTGATGATTCTTGAGATTTATTCAAACTATCAAGGACAAAATTGAGAGCTGAAAGTTGAAACTAAGTTGATTCATCAAAATGAAACAAGGAATTTGTAATTTAATTTGGGCATTTGTGAGAGAGATGTTCGAAATTGTTGTACCTTCAAGCACCGCTCCGAAGACGATGTTCTTGCCATCGAGCTGGGGGCAGGGGCCGGGGCCGGTGGTGATCAAGAATTCCACATTGTGATAATTCGGATCCAGTTTGAATTCGTCTTCATCGTCGTTCTCCGAAAGGCACAGCGAAACCACGCCGCCTCTGGAGTGCGATAGCAAGAACGAATCCGACTTCACCGATTCGGTGTTTCTCGCCAACTGCAGCGGCGGCCGGACTTCTCCTCTGTCGCGGCGGC